TTGAGCCCAGGAGTTTGAGGTTGCTGTGAGCTAGGCTGACACCACGGCACTCACTCTAGCCAGGGCAATAGAGTGAGACTCTGTCTCAAAAAAAAAAAAAAAGTCTACGGCCCAGTGTTCCCTGTGTACTTTGACATGAAGCCTGCTGTGGTGTTACATGGATATGAAGCAGTGAAGGAAGCCCTGATTGATCATGGAGAGGAGTTTTCTGAAGAGGCCATTTCCCAGTGGCTGAAAGAATTAATAAAGGGCTTGGTAGGTGGGCCTGTGCCTGAGTCAGCAATGGTAAAGGGGGTGGGGAGGATGGACAGCAGAGGCCTGAAGAGCTCCTAGGGCAGGGCTTGGCCTCCCACATGGCTGTGGAGTGTCAGCTCCCTCTGGGAATTCCCTGCTAGTTTCTGTTTCCCATTCTGGTAGGAATCCTTTTCAGCAATGGAGATAGGTGGAAGGAGATCCGGTGCTTCAGCCTCATGACCCTGCGGAATTTGGGGATGGGGAAGAGGGGGATTGAGGAATGTGTTCAAGAGGAGGTTCGGTGTCTTGTGGAGGAGTTGAGAAAAACCAAGGGTGGGTGACTTTTTTTTTTGGCTAGAAAAGTTTTTAAAATTAATTTAAATTTTTTTATTGATACATAGTATCTTTACATATTTGTGGGGTCCATGTGATATTTTGTTACATGCATAGACTGTTTAAAATGATCTAGTCAGGGTATTTAGGATATCCATCACTGCGAGCATTTATCATTTTACGTGTTGGGAACATTTCAAGACCTTTCTTCTAGCTATTTTGTAGTATACAATACACTGACCTTAACTGACTGCTGCCTTCTCTAATGATGTCCTTGGAAACATTTCAGGGCAGCCAGATCTTTCATTATGGGTCCTGGTGGTCAGCCCTTAGATGGTGGGGGAGGTTTGAAGAGCCAAGGGAGCTTGTGTGCATCTGTGCTTGTGTTTGTACATAATGACTGTGCATACCCTGTGGGTATAAGAGGTCATTTAATCCTAGTTTGTCCCAAACCTTGTTTGTTTTCAGATCATTGCATCATGAAGGTCAAAGGTTTGAGTCTTGTTTTTAAAAAATTTTAAAGAGCAAGATTTTTCCTATAGTGTCATTGTGGGTTACCTATTTCAGAACTTTTCACTGGGGAACACTTGTCACGTGGACATGGTGGGAATGACCCCTTTACTCCCTTATCAAGCATGAAACAAATGACATATGCTTTACCTTAATTAGTCTATATTTGCACGGTTAGCTTCACTGACATATCTGGGGCCTTCTTCCAAGGCTTGTGCCTACAATTTCCATCAGTAATGATGCTTATCTATGGTTTTAAGTGCCCCAGCATCTTTAGTGCAGCTCTCATCCATTTTAATTTCCGTGATAAATAATTTCCCTATCAGCTGGTGTTATTTAATGTCACTATTTACTATA